GATGATGATGATGATGATGATGATGATGATGATGATGATGATTATGAAGATGATGATGATGATAATGATCTAGGATACGGCTGGACGGATCAGTTCTCCCCAGTATTCCTTCTATACTCCTCCCCCTGCTAGAGACCCACAACCCTTCAAGAAGGTGATTAAACATTCCAAACTTTATCTCAAGAATTGATTTAGGAAAAGAGTTCTAGATCTTAGGTACACATTTCATGTTTGCAATTTTCAAACTACTTTTCTTATATAAAAGCATTTCAGAATTCTCACAGCCAACTAAATAGTTTGAAAAGCGTATAGTAAAAAAATGTTTAAGCTTGGTTAAGAATAATTTATTAACTTGATATGTGTATGTATATATTTATGAAACTATTGTGGCATCCCTACTCACTTCATCGTCAAGTTCATAATAAACCTGCTATAAAGTAATCATTGTGCTCTGAAGTTAAAGTAACTGTACATTACAGCACGTGTACTATAAAGTTTGATTGGTTCCCGGATTTTCTCCAAAATATGTATAGGATATTTTCAAAATAATTATTTTCAATTGAAATGAAATAAAATTTAAATAAACTTTATTTTTTACTTCTGCTTTGTTTTAAAGCTTATTTGATATAGGAAAAGCCATTTCATTAAGACAAGTACACAAACGTTTCAAAAAGTTACCTATAACACTATTATTTTGGCACGACGTGCTATAAAGTTTTTGACTTAAATATTCTCTATAACTCGAAGGTTCTCTCCTTAATTCAGATTATACTTTGTCCCTGGCTAAAGCTCGGGACAAAATTAAATCTTAAAAGGCTAGAACCTTCTCAATAAAGAGAAAATTTCTGCTTGAAAACTTTATAACTTAATAAGAGTGTTATAAGTAGTTATTACATGCTTATATTGCTTTATAACTTAATAAGAGTGTTATAAGTAGTTATTACATGCTAATATTGCTTTATAACTTAATAAGAGTGTTATAAGTAGTTATTACATGCTAATATTGCTTTATAACTTAATAAGAGTGTTATAAGTAGTTATTATACATGCTAATATTGCTTTATAACTTAATAAGAGTGTTATAAGTAGTTATTATACATGCTAATATTGCTTTATAACTTAATACGAGTGTTATAAGTAGTTATTATACATGCTAATATTGCTTTATAACTTAATAAGAGTGTTATAAGTAGTTATTACATGCTAATATTGCTTTATAACTTAATAAGAGTGTTATAAGTAGTTATTACATGCTAATATTTAGTGGCATAAACTCACAAGTCACAGGATATAACAATAAAATCATAAATTGTTTGATCGAAAGACACTTCAATGATGACCATTGATTTTAGCCCATAAGAAGTTAACTGCACTTTTGCTAAATTTTGTATTGACTTTTTAGAGTTTTAGACTGAAATTCGATCTCTATGTTAAAAATGTTTTTTTTTGGTTTTGATCGTGCTAATTCTATAATTAAAACTAAGTTTAACTTGTATTATTTCTGAGATTTTACCGCAAATAGTAAATTACAAAAATTCTTCGTCCAGGTGACATAGCAGGACTTTTGATATAGCTTTTTAAAATAAACTTGTTCGTACTTTTAAAAGGCTGATCATTAAGAGGTGGTTACTGGTTGTGGAGGAAAAAATGAGAAGAATGTGACAAAGAATTGATTTAGCTTGCCTTCCAATCCTCGTTGTACTAACTTTCAACTGACGCGAGTTATTTTAAAAAATTTCACAAGACCCTCCATGCAAAGATAGCAATCCCAGATTTACACTGGTACCATTAAAAGCTTTGTCTGATTAAGCTTGAGTTATAGATATCCATGTTTATGATCTTAAAAACTGATCATTATCAATTATGGTTTTTGTACAAAAGTGACTTCCACATTTTTACTGCAGAAAAACTTGCAGGAAAGATCAGAATTAAACACAAAACACGAAAATATCTTCTACATTGTTTATCAGATGAAGGTTGACCGGGTTCAAGGCGTACATTTTCCAACAAATGTCCTGACGGGTCTTTGCATGGAGGGCCACTTGAAATTACACATACAGTCCCTTTAACTACCAATTCCCTGGGAGAGATTTATTCCTTAATCCTAGAATATTCCAACCAACCTAGCCTAAACCTTTCTTCGTGGTTGCTGTTAGCTTTAAAGGGGGAGTGACCGGCTATGTAAGGTAGTTGAACTGAGTATGCAGTGTTGTGGAAAACTTCTTTCGGATTCATTTGAGACATATTAAACTTTTTAAAGATCTGTAAATCCTGAGTTTGAGCGCAAAT